ATACGACCACGGATTGTACTAAATGCACCAAATGATGTCACGTTTGCCCGCTTATCTTGATCATCATGGCTCATCTCTTTCTCTAACTTTTCTTTTTTTTTTTAAATGTAATTATTGAAGCATTTTTAATGCAGAAGGCTATAAACCCTAGGAAAAAAGAAGTAATTCTTTCTTCTTTTTTTTTTTTATGGGTTTACATTTGGTGAATGGGGTTTGAATCCCAATATTTGAGTCGGAGATACAATTTATAATTTGGTTTATAATCATTGACTCGTGAAATTCAAGCACCGTAAAAAATAAAGTAATTATATTAATATAGGTCAAATTAAAATATAAGACCTTTTTATGTTTTAGAAAATTAGACTTTAATATTATTATGTTAAAAAATTAATAAAAAAAATTTTGCTTACGAGCTTTAGACACCATTAAACATGCCTAATAGTGCTTAGGCGTGCCTAGACGTGCTTAGTTGATCTAAACAGTGCAAACTACATTAAATTTTTGCTTAAAAATTTATGCGGTGAAATGAAACCACCTAAAGTTTAAGTGATGCTTACGCGTGCTTTTTACAATATTGAGGAAGAATATGATTTTGTATCATAAATTTATGTTAAAATATAAAAATTAATTTTTAATTTATTAATTATTTAATTAAAATTTTTTATTTAATAATATTAGTAAAATTAATGTCAATTTTTATATTTTTAATTTATAATATTATATATTAATTATGATTAATTTAATAATATCACGTACATCTCACTATCATTACTCTTATAAAAAAAAATGAGAAAAATGCGTGTTTTAAAATGGACGGCAGGCGTGAGGTGGATACAGCTTCGCTATCAAAAGGACAGCGTCTATATTACGCAAGTCAGCGATTCTTTTCGACCTTATCATCTACGACTTGTGGACTCTCTTAGCCCTTAGCCCTAGGGAATTAGGTTGGGCCGCGTTGTTTTGGACGACTTGGATTCTGCAAGTCTGAAGAATGAAGGTATATAATAATTAGATATGGCCCAAAAAAAGACTAGAAAATATTTCTGTTTATCAAATAAAACTGGATTTTTTTTAATTTCTGGCCACCAATAAAACTGGATTTGATATCTTGAAAAAATATTAACACAATAAAGAATTGCC